GAAAGTACTCCAGTTTCATTCTTTTGCATGTAGCTGTCCCGTTTTCCCAGCACCATTTATTGAAAAGACTTTTACCAGTAGCCCATGCTCCTGGGCCTGTCATGGCTCCCCAGGGACAACAGGATCTATATCAGGCTCCTTAGGTGCCCTGCCACTATCCCCCACAGCCCCTGTCAGCCTGCCACCCTGATACTCTAGGTCCTCCAGGATATGGACATGACCACTCCTCTGACGTCATAATCTAGAACCTTCCTTTTCCCTCCACAGTGCTTCTCCTGCACTTCCTGCCTTTGCCTCCTGCAATAGAGGGCTATAAGCTGTCACCTCCTCCTCAGTATACTTCCCAGCAGTACCTGCTCCCACTTCCAGCTTTCCTGAAGTGCCCATCAGGAGGGGTTTTTCCATTTACCCCTGCCTGCCCAACACCCTTGGATTGCACCTCAGTATTCTAGCCCTTGTCACAGAGTGTTTGTGGCTTAGTGTTGCAGGTGGCAGAATCTGTCCACCCTAGAAGACTAGAATCTACTGTAGGCCAGCAATCAGCCAGCCTGGGGCTTGGCCCAGAGTTGGTGCTCAGGGAGCAGTAAGGGAGGTGGCCCTTCCTTCAAGGAGCTTCTTGGAACTCATCCAGCAAAGACTGTGATGGAAAGACATTCTAGAATCCTAGAACCGAAGTCTGGGACAGTGGGCAGGGCCCTCAAGCAGCTTGTGCAGAGTATCCAAGCCAGGTTGAGCATCAGGGACACAGGAGCTGCTGATTAAAATGCAGATTTCCTGGGCCTTATGCCAGAGCCACTAAATCAGAATCTCCGGGTGGAGGGAGAGGGGGAGAGCCAGCTGCATTCTGAAAAGAGCTCTACAGGTGGTTCCGATGTGTGCTGCAGATTGGGGAGGCCAAGGCCCCAGGTCCTGCATCGAGTCATTGCAGACTGGGACTGGAACTCTGGCTCTTGCCTCCCACTGTGGGGCCCTCTCCCCTATGTCATCAGGCCTAGTTGGCTGCCAAGGCTGAAGAGCTACGTCCATGAGTCACTTGCTGACAACAGACATGTGCCTCAAGGGCATGAGTCATAACAGACCACAGCTGACGATGGGCAACTCCAGAGATGTCAATGGGAGATGTTTGGGGATGCCTCGTCTGTGCTGCCAGCCTAGGACTGGGTGCTGAGGGCAAAAACAGTCTAAGATAGAAATGTCTGTGCTCCTGGGGCAGCAGTGCCCATCTTTGGCAGGAAATCTGCACATCCTTCAATCCTCCAGTCCAGCCTTCTGTCCACTGCTTTGGACCCATAGTGTTTGTCTAGTGCTCAGCTAGGAGCTGGAGCCATGGCAGTGAATGTACCATCAGGAAACCACAAGGAGCAGGAAGACCATCCCTCAGATGAGGTGTAGTGAGGGGCAGTGCATGGTGACACTCCGTGCATGTAGACAGGGGTCAGCCTAGTCTGGTGGGCGGGGCAGACAGAGGATAAGGAGGCACCCCGCAGGGATGGGGAACCAGAGGAAGAGGGCAGTTGCAGGCAGAGGAGACTGTGTATGTATAGGCTCTGAGGCACATGAGGAAGAGGGAGGCCTATGGGGCTGGCGCCCAGACTGGAGATGGATGACCGGAGGGAAATGTGGTAGGGCATGGGGAAGCTGTAAGAGGGCAGGGGCAGGGCCTTTGAGGCTCTGGTTTGGGTGTTTTATTCTATCTTAAGAACAATGAAAAGGGCAACAAACATATGAAAAGATGCTCAACATCACTTGCAATTGGACAACTACAAATCAAAATCAAAATGAGATATCACCTTATACCACTAAGATTTTAAAAAAAAACAAACAAACAAAATGCCAGAAAATAACAAGTGTTGGTGAGGATGTGGAGAAATTGGAACCCCTGTGTATTGCTTGTGGGAATGTAAAATGGTGCAACGTCTGCGGAAAACATTTTGGTCATTCTTCAAAAGGTTAAACAGACAGTTACCACATGACCCAGCATTTCCACTCCTGGGTACATACATACCCAAGAGAATTGGTGTTCAGAGAACGAATGTCTATAGCATCATTATTCATAATAGCTGAAAGTGGAAACAACCCTAATGTTCGTCAACTGGTGAGTGGATGAATAAAATGTAAAATGCGGTCCGTCCATAATGGACTATTATTCAGCCATAAAAGAGAATGAAGTGCAGATCTACGCTACAACGTGGACGAACTCTGAAAACATTGTGCTAAGTGGAAGAAGCCAGTCACAAAAGACCACATGCTATGTGATTCCATTCATGTGTAGTGTCCACAATAGGCCAATCCATAGAGACAGAAAGCTGATCAGTGGGTGCCAGTGGCTGGGGGGAGGGGAAGAATGGAATGACTGGTTAATGACCTGGGTTTTTTGGGGGGTAGGGTGATGAAAATGTTCTGGAATTGGATTGTAGTGTAACTTCATTAATATAATTCATGCCACTGAATCATACACTTTAAAATGGTGATTGACAGATTTCATCACACACACCCATATTAAGTACAGTTTTTAAAAGCAGGGGCAGAATGATGGGAGGGCCAGTTGAGGGTCCAAAGCAGCAGATGGGCTAGACTGTAGGACTGGCAGGAAGCCTGCCAGTCCTGAGCACTTGGGTATCTGTGCCTCTCTGCCTTCCAGCACATCTGAAGGCTGCTCAGCTTCAATGAGACAGTATGTGGAGGCCCCGGTACACAGTAGGTGTGCAGCCAGTGCCATGCAGGGAAAAGGGAGCTCCGAGGGAATGAAGTAACCTGCTCACGGACATCCAGTTAAGTGAGCAAGTCAGGACTGTCTGGAGTCACACTGCCCGGCTCCTTATCTCAATTTCGCCCCTTGGAACTGCTGTGTCCTTGTACATAACATGCAGCTGATAACAGCAGTCCTGTCTTGCTTCGAGTCCCACTGCACCACTGGGCCCACCGGCCCTGGCTCACTCCCTTTGGGAAGACTTCCCCACATGGGTCATCCTAATTCAGTTCAAGAGCAGGAAACATATAAAATATGTTCTTATTTGATGGCCTCTGTTGTTGGTCTGGGAAGCCACTGAGAGAGGAAAACCAGAGGCAAGTGCCGGCTCTTTTCCTGAAAGCATTAATGAAAATGTTAACTTTTGCATTGGGTTCTGTGCTGTTCCAAGTTTATTAAACCATCAGAAAAAGTGGCTCCCAAGGGCAAATCTTGAGAACATGGGGAAACCCTGAGGGTCTCTTTCCCAGTCTCTTTCCCCAACTGGTCCCTTTCCCTTTATGCCCTTCACTGTCTGACCCTCCCCCACCCCTCACCAGCCTGGTGCCCCAAACTTCCAGTCCCTAAAATGGGGGTCATGTGATGCTTAGCCTCATGTGTGGCTTATAATAATTGCTTGAGGGGCACCTTGGTGGCTCAGTCTGTCCAACTCTTGATTTCAGCTCAGGTCATGATCTCACAGTTGTGACATCAAGTTCCATGTCAGGGTCTGCACAGAGCATGGAGCCTGCTTGGGATTCTTTCTCCCTCCCTCTCTCTGTGCCCCTCCCCTGCTCGTGCATGCACTCTCTCCCTCTCTCTTTCAAAATAAATATATAAACTTAAAAAAAAAAAGTGCTTGGGGCTCCTGGATGGGTCAGTCGTTTAAGCATCCAACTTCAGCTCAGGTCATGATCTCACAGTTGGTTAGTTCAAGTCCTGCATCAAGTCTCTGCACTGTGGTGCAGAACCTGCTTGGATTCTCTCTCCATCTCTCTTTCCCCGTCCCCACTTGTGCTCTCTCTCTCTCTCAAAGTAAATAAATAAACTTTAAAACAATAAGTGCTTGATAGAGTCAGTGACAATTACAATGACTTTAAATAATTTTTAAAAAAGCACTGCTCATTTTTCTCAGGGACCTTGCTTTTTCCCATGTAATTGATGATCTAAATTGTAAGACTGTCTTTTTCCACAGGACTCAATAGACTTTTTTAATGACAAAGATGAAAAGCAGCTGTCCACCCTATTCTTTGTCCTGACTCAGCTCTTCCTGGGGAGAAGGCTACTCCTCCATGGCCTGGACATTCTCCAAGCCCCTCCTAGGACTGGCAGGGGTCTCAGGGCCTACGTCTCCATTAGAAGCAATAGGTACTAGGGCCATGATACTTTCTGGGGCTCATGAAAATATTTTAATTCCTTTTCAAATCAGAAGGGAAACAATGAACTTTTAGGAGGAAGAAAATATTTTAATATGTACTATTAATGTGAATTAATATACATTAATATGAACTAACATACTCATCTTTTTAAATATTTATTTATGTTTATTTATTATTTATTTATTTATGTTTATTTATTTTTGAGAGAGAGAGAACACGTGTGAGGGAGGGGCAGAGAGAGAGAGAGAGAGACAGAGGATCCAAAGCAGGCTCTGCACTGAGAGCACAAAGCCCAATGTGGGGCTTGAACACATGAACCATGAGATCATGACCTGAGCCAAAGTCAGACGCTCAACCGAGTGAGCCACCCAGGCACCCCTGCTTATTCATTTATTTTGATAGAGAGAGGGAGGGTCAGAGAGAGAAGGAGAGAAGGAATCCTAAGCAGGCTCTGTGCTGTCAGCGCAGAGCTGAACACCAGCTCGAACTCATGAACCATGAGATTGTGACCTGACCCAAAATCAAGAGTTGGATGCTCAACCCACTGGGCCAGCCAGGCACCCCAACATAATCATCTTTATACCAACACAGTCGTAAACTATAATTGTTATTTATTCTGCTACTGAGGAAGAGGCCCACAAGGCGGAAGTGTCCATGGCCAGAGGGGTCAGTGCAGCCCTGAGCCCCCTGCAGGAGGGCACTTTCCCTCTAGTCATCTCATTTCTGATTCTGATCACTACCACCAACCCCGCAGGTAGACAGGATGGCGGGTATTTCCCTGCTTTCCACACAAAGAGGCTGAGGTTTGGAAATAAGAGGTGACTTGTTTGATGTCACCCAGTCCTGAACTTTCTGATGTCCCTTATTGCCATTTCGGGTCCCCTTTCTGCCAGGGAGATATCAGGTGGAGGAGCCCCTACTGCTGAGAGGAGAGCCCCTCACCCTGCCCCCAAGCCTCATCTGCCATCTTCTCCAGCTGCCTCCAGGCCACCAGGAAGAGAGCTACACTGTCGGAACAGTGCAGGTAAATGTTAACCATTAATTCTGGTCAGAAACATCATTGCCAAAACCTCCATAAAGCTGTGAGGCTATAGTTGATCAGTGTCCTGGGAGTGAGCACAGAGTAATCACTCAGCTTATCCAGGTTCTTCAGAGAAGCAGAGCCAAGAGATGAGATAGACAGACATAGATAGATGGATAGGTGGATGGGTGGCGAGTGGTTGCATGGATGGATGGATGGATGGATGGATTTTAAGGAACTGGTTCACAAAATTGTGGGTACTGGCAAGTCCCAAATCTAGAGGGCAGGCCACAAGGCTAGAGACTCCGTCAAGGGTTGATGATGTAGTCTGGAGGCAGAATTCTTTGGGAAGCCTCCTCAGAAGGCCTTCCACTGATTGGATGATACCCACCCACATTATCAAGGGTTAGTAATCTTCTTTACTTAAAGTCAACCAGTTGTACATATTCCCCACAACTACATACCAAAACTCAGATTAGTGTTTGACCAAATAACTGGGGATCATGGTCTGGCCAAGGTAACACATAAACTGACCATCACGGACGGCACCCATGCCACATTGGTAGAGGTCAAACCTTGCTGGCTTATTTAAGTACTTGAATTCTCTGTAATTTTCCTCCTGCCTCCCCAATCAGGAAGGCCCAAGTCACGTTCTCAGCTAGAAGGACCTCGAACTCCCCAGTCCAGTGGCTGGCCTTTTACCTAGGTCAAAGTGATGTTCTGTCCCCAGAGTTCCTTAGCCCAGCTCATGGCCTCTTGCTGCCAGTGCCTACTTTGTCACAGCAGTTGTAAGCAATGGCCAAAAGTGAGTACTGTCAATGCCTTCCCTGGGGAGTCCTGGTTTCCTGGGCTATGTAGTCCCAGGCACAGCGGCAGATAGGACCAGCCACAGGGCCCAATCCTTAGGGTCTTGGGCTCTTCCCTCTGCAGGGGTGGGGTGCAGGAATGAATGTCTTTGCCTTTCCAACAGAAGGGAAAACACAGCCCCCTCTAGGCATCCACACTCAGAGGAAGCCACATGGAGGTAGGCTACTAGCACAAGCCTCTAAAATCTCCATGGTGTCCTGGAGCTTGGGAGCTGGCTGAATGCACTAGAAGCATCTAGAGTTAGTTGTTCAAATTGCAACTTGTGAACTACATGTGGTTGTCCTAAAATCAAGTTTGCGAGTCTCAAGCAGCATATTTGGAAACATGAAACAGAATAAAAAGAAAAAAATAATATTCAAGTACATTGTCTTAGTCCATTTGAGCTGTTATAACAAAAATACTATACCCTGGGGGGGGAGGGGGGCTTAAACAACAAACATTTATGTCTCACAGTTCTGGAAGCTGGGAAGTCTAAGATCAAGGCACTGACAGATTTGCTGTCTGCTAAGGTTCACAGATGGCCGTTTTCTCACTGTGTCCTCACAAAGCAGAAAGGTCGAGGCCACTCTCTGGGTCTCTTTTATGAGGGTACAAATCCCATTCATGAGGGCTTCACCTCATGACCTCATCACCTCCCAAAGGCCAGGTTAGGATTTCAACATATGAATTCTGGGGGGGGGGGGGCCCATTCAGTCTATAGCATTCTGCCCGTGGCTCCCCAAATTCATGTCCTTCTTATATGAAAATACATTCTTTCCACCCAACAGCCCCAAAGGTTTTAACTGGTTCTGGCATCAGCTCTAAAGTCTAAGGCCAAAGGCTCATCTACACCTCATCTAGATCACCTATGAGCAAGACCCAAGGTCTGGTTCATCCAGAAGCCGATTCCTCTCCAGCTGCGAACTGCAAAAGCAAACAAGTCATAGTAGTGGGACAGGCATAGGATAGACAGTCCCCTTCCAAAAGGGAGAAATGGGAAAGAAGGAAGGGGTAAATGGGCCCCATGTAAATCTCAACCCAAGAGGGCAAACATTAAACCTTAAGGCTCTAGAATAATCCCCTTTGGCTTGATGCTCTTTTAGGCCCACTGGGCTGGCAACAGTACCCTCTGGCTCCTTGAGATGGCCCACAGCAGCTCTCTGCCTGGACCCTGTCCCCAAGGTAGCTCTCCGCTGGTGCTCTCAGGCTCTCCAGGGCTGGATCCCCAAGCCATGGCTCCTCATGGCCTCCCTGTCCTTTGAAACCCAGGTAGAGACAGCCATTGCCTGGTGTGTGCACCGTGAACCTGTGGGAAGAACACTGCATGTTTGCAGATGAACAGCATTATGGTTCAGTCCTGAAGGGTCTAAGAAGTCCAACATTCTTCCTTCACTTTGACCTCCCTTTCTCTGTCTCCTTTAGTCCCAGCTGGCTGTGTTTCTGCTGGTGACACCCCATCTCTATGCCTACCTAGCCTTTGTTGATTATGGTCTGTAGGTTACATCCCTGCTAATCTCCATATCAAAGGGTTGCTTAGCCATACTCTTAGGGTTCTCATTTTTTCCAATTTGGGTGGGCTGAGAATTTGCCTAGTCTTTGAGTTCTGCTTCATTTTTGCTGAACAATTCCATCTTTGTGTCCCTTCTCCCTTCTCACATTCCTCTATAAGCCATCAGGAGGAGCCAAGTCTCACCTTCAACACTTTGCTAGAAATCTCCTCAGTAAATATCCTATTTCATTACTTACAAGTTCGACCTTATACAAAACACTAGAACATGAATACAATTCAGCCAAGTTCTTTGCCACTTTATAACAAGGATCAGCTTCCATTATATTTAAGGTGCATAACTTGATGTTTTGATACATATATACACTGTAAAATGATCAGCAATACTGTACTATAATACTTGAATGCAATTGCCAATAACATGTCCTCATTTTCATGTGAGATCTCATCAGAATGGCCTTTTGAATCCAGAAATCTGAGGCCTTCTCTCCAGCGCCCATCTTTCCCACTCACGACAATGGAGGCTCCAACCTCCACCCATTATCTGTTCCCAAGCTGCTCCCATATGTTTAGAGCTTTGTTACAGCAGCGCCCCACTTCTCACTACCACTTTCATAGTCCATTCATGCTGCTGTGACAGAATACCATAGACAGAGCAGCTTAAACAACAATTTCCTCCTCCTAGTTCTAGAGGCTGGGAAGTCCAAGATCAAGGCACCAACAGATTTGGTGTCTGGTGAGAGCCCACTTCCTGATTCATAGACAGCTATCTTTTTGCTGTGTCCTCACAGGAAGGAAGAGGCAAGGGAGGTTTCAGGGGTCCCTATTATAAGGACACCAATCCCATTCTTGAGGGCTCCACCCTCATGAATTCATCGCTTCCCAAAGGCCCCACCTCTTAATACCATCACTTTGGGAGTTAGATTTCAATATATGAATTTTAGAAGCACACATTCAGTCTATAGCAGCATCTTAAGTAGTAATGCTAAGTATTAGTTCGTGAAACTTTTGTTACGCTTTATAGTGATTTGTATGTATACTTGTATTGGGTCTTGATGCAAAACATATTTCTTACTATCAAAATGTTTGAGGGATGCCTGGCTGGGTCAGTTGGTAGAGCATGTGACTCTTGATCTCCAGGTCATGAGTTTGAGCCCCATGTTGGGTGTAGAGCTTATCAAAAGTTTTTTTAAGATAAAAAATTAAAAAATAAAGTAAAAAGTGTTTGAAAGTCACCAATGTATCCAAACAAGCCATTGTGCATGTGGGAAAATTGAGGCCTAAAATTAGGGACAGGACACATGTTAAGATCTTATAATGATAAAGAACAGAGAAGGATTAGAATTCAACATGTGATCTCCTGACCTGAACCCACACACTCCAAGCTGGCTGCTGGGCTGTGGCAATTGCCACCCAGGACTCCATTCACACGACCATGTAAGCTCAAGATCCTCTAAACAATCCCAAGCACACCTTAGAAGAACAAAAGCTATTTTTACTGAGAGTTGGGCTTTGTAAAGTACATTCAAGTATACAGTACAGTATTGGTGATCATTTTATAGCATATACATGTAGGAAAACATCAAGTTAGGCACCTTAAATATATAAACAAGTATTTGTCAATTAAACGTCCATAAAGCTGAAGAAGAAAGTCACAAAAAAAAAAAAACTGCATGCACCTTTGGGTTGCGGTGACAAATACAAAGCAATTTTATTCCTTAGGGGATGCTGTGTTTTTGTATATTTCTGCCTGCCCACCATCCACTCTTGTGACCTCTAAACACTCTTTCTTTTGGGGTGTCTATGCACCAGTCAGGGTTCAGTTGAAGAAGCATGGTCAAGATGCTATACAATGACAGGGTTTTCATAGGATGGGACCCGCTGCCCTGGGCAGGGCGGGGGTGCGGGGGGGGGGGGGCGCTGGTAGAGGGCTCTAAGCATCAGGTGTTCAGCTTTAAATCACCCAGACCGACAGGAGGGAAAATGGGCATGAGCAAGAACAAAGACAAACTGGTAGTCCCATCTGTCCCTGACCACCTCCAACCTGGATACCATGGGTGACCTGTAAGGGAAGCTGGCATCCCTCACCAAGAGCTGCAGTCACACTTGGCCCTGCTGAAGGAGGAAAGCTGGCCGGGGCTGAGGCAGCTGCGGGGCTAGTACCCACCCCATGTCAACCAGAGTAGCCACCAGATCAAGGACACTGTGCACAAGCTGCCACAGCACTGGCTTCTGCTTCACTTACATTTTCCAAAAGTCACTTGATTCTCATGTGGCCCCCACTGGCCAACAGCTGTACCAAAAGGGGTTCTGGGCACCGAGGTGCTGGTTTCACTCGACTGGCACAAAGCAAAGCCACTGTTTATAACCGATTAGTGCAAGAAACAGCAGGAGTTAAAAATCTAGAAAACTCCATCATCCTGAGCAGGCTGTGTATTCACTTCCTCCTCACTGACTTCACATCACCTTGTAATCTGTGGGTTCAGGGCCTCACCTGCCTTTAGATATAGGGTCCCAAGAACATTACTAAGCCAGAGGCCCTATTCTTGCTCCTACCTGTTCACATAGTCTCCTGCCTCACCCCCTGTTAGGGACTGAATGTTGGTGTCCTTCAAAATCATATGTTTAAGCCCTACCTCCCAATGTGAAG